GCTTCTCTGATGAAGAACAAAACCTGGGAACTTGTAGATCGACCAAAGAACAAACGAGTGGTTGGTTGCAAGCGGATCTTTAAGAAGAAAGAAGGCACGCCAGGTATTGACAGGATCAGATACAAAGCCAGACTCGTTGCAAAGGGATTCACTCAGGTAGAAGGAATCGACTTCAACGAAATCTTCTCGCCCGTCGTGAAGCGCTGTTCCATTAGGATAGTCTTAGTACTAACGGTTCAATTCAATTTGGAATTAGAGCAGCTAGATGTTAAGACTGCGTTCCTGCATGGAGAGCTTGAAGAAACCATCTACATGGATCAGCCAGATGGGTACTGCACACCTGAGACAAAGGACAAAGTTTGCTTGCTGAAGAAAGCTTTGTATGGACTAAAACAAAGCCCCAGACAATGGTACAAACGATTTGATGAGTTCATGCTAAAGATCGGATTTGTCAGATGCAGCTACGACAGTTGCGTGTACATGAAGTGGCAAGACGGTGAAATAAGTACCTACTTGCTTCTTTATGTGGATGATATGTTAGTAGCCAGCAGAAGCAAGGAGGAAATCCAGAAGATCAAAGGTATGCTAAATTCTGAATTTGACATGAAGGACCTAGGACCTGCTACAAAGATCCTAGGGATGGAGATTACTAAAGATAAAAAAAAATGACACCTTATTCTTATCTCAAAAGTCATATATTCAGAAGGTTCTAGCAAGGTTCAACATGCATGAGGCTAAGCATGTTGCAACACCCATTGGCCAACACTTCAGATTGTCAAACTCTCAAGCACCAGAGACTGAAGAAGAGAAAAGGTACATGGAGGGTGTCCCTTATGCCAACAGGGTTGGTAGCATCATGTATGAGATGATCTGCAGCAGACCAGATTTGGCCTACGCCGTTAGCATTGTAAGCAGGTTCATGGCAAACCCAGGACAGGCTCACTGGGAAGCACTAAAATGGATCTTGAGGTACCTGAGAGGCACTACAGACCTGGGTCTACTCTTCAAAAGGCAGGAAGACAAAGAAGAAAAGGTAGTTGGTTACGTGGACTCAGATTATGCACGAAGCATTGACACCAGGAAGTCACTGACCGGATTCATTTTCA